TTTGTTTGTCTGTTTAATCAACTCTGTCTACACACTACATGTAGCTGTCTGAAATAAAGTGAACATAATAAAGTAGTACTGAAATTTAACACAAAATGCCTCTCACTTACATCAACTAAAATTTCATTTGTAGCTTTTTTATTACTGCTTTATTGTTTCAATTTTAAAATACATATTAGGAAAACAATAAATCAATGTGTGCACAAATATATGAATCAGTATTGGAAATGTTGTCCATATTCTGGAATAGGTTGATAATATTATATACAGTGATTAGTATTCCTTTAAAGTAATTGTGAGGCAGCCACACATAAATCTTAAACACACATATCAAAGTTACGTGCTCAAATGACATCATGCTCTTAAATTAATGTCTACATGTACGTCATGGGAAACATGGATGTAGAATACTCTTGCCTCTGGTTCATAATTATGAATATTAATTTTTATTTAACTCACAGCTTCTAAACTATTAAGCTAATCACGTCTGTTTCATTTAAACATGATGCTAAAATACAAGAGACTGTAATTTATGTGGTCATCATTTGCTAATACAATAACATGAATAGGAATCACTTTTATCTACTAATTTGCTTTATTTAGCATTATAATGATTAAATTTGCATAACAATAATATTTTATATAAATACTGGTGCATATGCTGTGTTCATAGTAGTGGGCATGTGTCACATGAAAACACAGGATATCTACTGAGCATGCTCAGTACAGTCTATTCGAATCATGTTATTCAATACCGATATGTTTGCATGTTTAATACCTTCATACCTTTAACAGTTCAGCCAGCAGCTTTGCTTCAAATAATTCATATCTAATACTATTATTTTGAGGTATGTAATAATGTTAGTTTTATATTTGTTGCATAATGAATGACTGAGATTATTTTGGTGCGTTGTCTGACACCATGTGATGTCTAGCATACATGCACCCACTCTATGTTGTGTTTTTTAATCCCGTATTTCCAAGGTTTATCAATATTTTACATGTCAATGAACCATGTCGTAAATTTGCACGTGCTGTTTGTTTTAATCCCAGTTTTAGTGGGCTGGAAATGTTACCGTACGGGCTTGGTTGTTTTGATGTAAAATTACATTGATCTCTCAATTGAGTTTGACACTTACAATATATTTCATTGTGTTAGGTTTTAGGTTCAGGAAATCTGTTCTATTTTTATAAATATGTACAATGTAGACTGCAACTATATGTATTAGGGAGTATATATATGATATCACCTATTAACCATGCTTAGTTGTAATATATTAAATATTACAATATCATTAAAATTTTATTAGGTGAAGCGTAATGTTTGTAGTTCATGATAGTTTGTTATGCTTATTATTTTGAATGTAAATATTCAATACAGATAGAAAGGAAATTGTTATATTGTACTATCCTGGTAATTACATTCATGCATTCATTAATTTAATAACTAATGAAAAAACAAACAGTTGAGTCTATTTTGTTTTGTTGTGGATTACTTAGGTTTGGTGAAAAAATAATAACAAATATTAACCTTGCTGCTTACTGTTTTATTTGCTGTAATTCTCTCTGTATGTGTATAATGTGCACATCTGCTGCACTCCAATGAAAAGATCTCTGTCCACTTGTATCTATACATGTAGCTAGGCTCTGACTGGATTATATAAAATGTTAGTAAAATTCAGAATTTATAATTAAAGGAAAGCGTTTTCTATGCACATACTGCTGTAAAATATTTTAGCTGGAATTAATTTTTGCTGACATATTTTTTTTCATTTTTGGCTTTTTTATATAAAGTTTATTTTAAATGTAAAATATAGGAAAAAGTGTATTTTCACAGGATTTTATTTTCGCTGATTAATCGATTTAGTGAAAATAAAGTACTTTATAGTAATGTAAATTTTTAATAATTCATTTCCAGAATTTTAGTCAATTTTGAAAAGAAAAAATCCCCAATTCACTGCTGAAAGGGAAAGCACAAAGTGGGTCACTAGCTAGGGTAGATATCAATCAACCTACTCGGTAGTAAATTATATTTTTTAATATTCCCTGATTTTGTTTTGGTCTATAGATACTAGTGTTTGATATAATCTGTCTTGTTCACAAAACTGATAGCTGGATTGAGTAATATATTAACATGTGTAAAGGGTTGGTAGGTTTTATAAGAGACATAAATCATGTTAAATTTTTTTAACTTGGCAGCTGAACTATGACAGCAACTGAATTAATTCTCTACAAATTGGAGGACTCTCTACTCTAATTATCCTAGTAATAAATTATTCAAAGCTTTAGTGTCACATTACATCAGTTTGCATAAAATACATGTAATTAGGGTAGGTTGAGAGGTGTATCTATTCACATTTAAAGGCCCTATTTAGAGTGTAGTGTGAAAATTGAGATTATTGCCATCCATGTTTGTATCTGTTCAGACAATACATGATGAAATAGGTTATCTTTTAGAAAGCAATTGTTCACTCTGTGTGGGAGCATTTAAGGTCATTAAGTATTCAGCCTGTAGGGAAATCAAATGACAAATTTATGACAGTTTTATTTTCAAAGTGTTATATCTTGTATTTGGATGATAGTTTTTTTTATATATAATTTTGGAGTAACGCTGTGAGAAAAAAGCTTAAAAAATGCTTATTGCCATAGAAAGTGTGTTTTGAAATCATTACAATGTTTCATGTATTTCATGACAACCATAAGTACCAGGCTTTTAGTCAGCCACCTGTCTACATTGTACCTGTCATTTTAGACAGGCAATCCACATTTTAGACAGACACAAAATTTCCTTTGACAGACAAAATTTCAACAAACCTGCCTAACTTATTGAAAATTATTAGTAAATGACAATATACCCATGAATAATAAAAAAAATTGATTGTAATTCAGTAGTTAATAGGAACTGCTACATGTATTTTCTTCCTGATATTTCAATGAGTCCAAGGTATTTGTAAAAATTTAGTTGGTTACATTTGCGGTTCTATGCACATTATTTGGTTTGATGATTTAATTTAAAATGGCTGACTGGTAGCTATGATGACAATTTTTTGATTTTCAATGAAATTTAACCAACTGGCAGCCATTTTATTTTATTTTTAAATTGTCATTTTTCTTACCTGACATGCTCAACTAATATCAGCACAAAGGTAAGACATAATGCTTTCACATGCATACCATTATTTTCAGTGAAAGTTTTTATTTCTACTTCCTTCTGTGTTTTCAAATAAAATGTGTCCAAATATGGGCAGGAACTACATCATTGACAATGACTCATTTTGTGAAATGCATATTAATAAAACCTACATTGTAAAAGTCAAGAGAATATGATGACCAGTTTTAATGGTAAATAAATACCTTGAGATAACTGTTCTATCTAGGTTGGGTCATTGACCTATTCAATCCGATTTACTTCATACAAGCAATATAGCCATTTTTCTGTATTTTTATGTAAGTGTGCACATGAGTGACTGGTTGGCAAGAACTAGTTGTTCGCACCAAAAAATAAAATAACTACACTGTTCACTGAAGTTGTTATTAAAGCTCAGTGGTCGTCGCGCAGCACGTGTTCGAATTTCATGTAAATAAGCAATCTATTTTACATGCGTTGTATACGCCGCTATGAGTCCCATATCAAACAGAACGCGGCACGACGACTGCCGCCCTTTAAATATACTGTAGATGTTATTAAAATTACTTGCGGACATCGTTGTCTCAGCAGATCTCGATCTAGTGGTGATTAGTGAGTGCCATTTGTTATTAGACATTTGCATGACGGTTGGCAGTAGTGTATGAATGAGTACAGTCACAGTGGATTGTCTATTAAGTGTGCACAAATGTGTGGAGACTGGTTATCTCCCGAAATTATTAAATAATATGCAATCAATATCTAGCCTAAATGTTATTACTTGTGAGGTGACTGGGTAATACTGAATATTATTATGTTGCTGGAAATTAACAATAGTGAAAATATTAGTGAATAGCAGTGGTTTACTGATTCAATCCAAGATGGCTGACTCATAGCCATTTTGTTTGTTGAAAATGTGGTATTTATACATACTTTGTCAGTTTTTGTTCAAATTTAGTAACATACATTATACATGTTAGGATACATATCTGTGATGATTCGTTTCATTATCAAATCAAAGATGGCCAACCGGCAGCCATTTTGTTTTTGGAGAATGTGGTATCTTATGCATGCTTTGTCAGTTTCTGTTAAAATTTTATACATACATTGTACACTTTTGATTACATGTTCATGACAATTTTTTTACAATCAGATCAAAGATGGCTGACTGGAGGCCATCTTGCTTTTTGACCATACTACTACTGGTAGTATATCTCCAAGGCGTATGGACCATTTTCACTCATAATTGGCACATACATCATACATCATACATATAGGAATGTCAGTTTGTTCTATAATCAGATCAAAAATGGAGGACTGGCATCCTTTTTGATTTTTGAAAATGTGGTATCTTGGACAGGATTTGTCGGTTTTCAAATTGGATACAAATATTATGCATGTTGAGATACATGTCTATGATGTTTCATCTTGTGTTTTGTATCTCTGTACATGAGCCTGGACAAATGAAATTCAGTTTGGATACAAAACAAAACAAAACATGAATAGCATATCCTGTTTAATTTCAGACCATTTATTATGAGTCCCTTTAATACATCTAATTTCTGCTACAATACCAGTCAATTATTCACTATAAACTATTAACTATGCTTTTGGTGCATATTACTTTATTTTTGCATGGATAACATTTTTCCTATCCAACAGGGACTATGTCATTAACAATGACTCGTTACGATGTGGAATATTACAGTAGTAAATACCATCATATCGCTGTAAATTGTTATTTCTGTATTTTTTGACGTTGGCAACCAGTTTTCATATTTAATTGTCCATAACAAAAGTGGTTGTCCTGACAACTACCAATTATGGCCGATGTAACAATAGTAACAATGAATTTGTTTTTTCAGATGGGCTGAGAATGGCAGAAAACGATGACATTAAGATTCTAGATGTTGCAGAATTATTACAGGCCAATATAGCATATATCTCAGGTTTGTATCAAAATAAAAATTATCAATCACACAGTGAAAACAACAAAAATAATATCAAATATTTATATATGTTAATAAAACATAACAAGAATATTAACTTAAACTTGAAACCTTTAGGGGGTTTAGTATGGTAAATAACAAAAGTAAAAAAAAGGTAACCTACAAATAAAATAACTATAATTTTACAGTTCTTCTTTTTTTGGTTTCTACACATGTACACATGGAAATAAAGCATTTATCTTAGAATACATGTTTAAAGTACTTGGGCCAAACACACTACCGGTACTATAGCATAGTTTCAACCCTTTATGTGTTAGCTTGTTGCACCAGTATCTTCCGACTCGCATATATATATATTTACAATGGAAGTCCAGATACACACTCACCAAACTTTTCATTTCATTTCATATTGCTTTTTGCCATCGGACTCAATTTAATATTTACATGTATACAATTCCCTGGGTGAAGCCCTGTCATATTTTATCATTTCATCAAAAACACTTTATTTGCATGTGTTTTACCTTTCAATCTTTAATTAAACAAAACACTGACATGCATTATTCACTCAGTATGGTGATTTTATTAGTCCCCGTTCGGACGCAGTCCGAAAACGGGGACTTATGTTTTGACCT